TTTTTGAGACTAGAAATACAAAGAAAATACGATAATGTTGAGAAGAGTAATAGAATCAGCGTATTTAATTTTTCTGTTTTTTTCTGTTCATAAATAGTTAAAGATGGCGTTATGTGTTATGTTGAGTTGATTCAAAAGAACTTCAAGGTTTGAAATGCCGCATAAAATAACTCAACGCCACGACCTTCAATAAGTCAATTTTATAGTTCACATGTGAAACTGGAAAGCTGACGATTTATTGCTCAGTAACCATTAAGTCTATTGATAGGACGTTAAAATCAAAACATCTGCTAATTGTAATCGAGTTAACGATATCTGGTAATCATTTTATAAGCGATCTTTTAAGTAATATTTCCATAACTAAAGCACATACAAAACTCTATTATTCTCACTATTTGTCTTTAAATAAAAAAAAGAACAAAAGTGTGTTTTTAATATATATTTTGGCTGTGGAAATTTAAGGTTATTCACATCAAGTATTGTAGAAAAAATGTATTAATATTAATGTTAGATTTAAATGCATTCTATTCGTTGGCTAGACGATCCTTACGTGACAAGCCTTCTTAAGTTGAGGGTTATTTTAGGATATAATGGAGATATATTTTTATGTTAAAATTTAGTTGCTATAGTTGAAAAAATGTAATTAAAATAAAATTAAAAGTATTATTGTTGTGAGGAGATAACCAATTTAACAAATTAACAAAAGGTTTTCAAAAATTGTCCGTTTGTTTATAGCCTTGGATAACATTAAAGTTGTCATAAACATTGAATGATATTGATAAAATTTCATGACCTTTTTAGAGATTCTAACAATAATAAAGGACTTAAAACTGACAGACCAGACATGGCCAGGTTACCTATGATAATTACGTCACAGTAAGAATAAGGTTATGTAAGTTTTTATATCACATGAATAAGTCAAAGGACAATAAGGATTGAATTTTCGATATGTTAAAAAGGTTTTTATATATCATACCAGTCAATAATTCAGTCGATTGTTTATAAAGATAAAGTAGCCTGTAAATACCATAATAAATATACGAAAATTAATGAAAATAGTCATAAAATACGTATATATCATTCAAAATAATTCCTCAAAGTGTTACAAATCAAAATTAACGTATCGATTTTCAAACTCCATACCGCTGTAGCATTTACGTAACCTCAAAAAAGCGCTTACAACATAAAATCATTGTAAATTACATACGATTCTGGTGGGACAGGAATAGCTCATGGGTTACCCAGGATTTACCATCATGTGTTTACTATGATTTATTTATGGTGTTTACGAAAAGATCGCTGCATCGGGAATGTCACTCACGGGGTAATAACAGAAAATGTGAACACTTTATGATATTATTAATGGGTTTTGTTTAATTAATTATAGGTTATATGGGGGTATTGATCGCGGGCGCGGGGAGTAGCGTGCCGTGCGCGCGGGCGGCTTGCTCTGCCGCGACTGTAGGGCGGGCGGCTGCCCTACAGAAGGGTCCGTTTTGCGGCTGCGCGCATCGTGTTTTGTTTTGCCGTAAGACCGCTCCGAAGAGCCCTCGATGCCGGCTAAATACATCCACGTGAAAGATTCCTCTATATTTGTATTCTAAGCCTCGTAATTTACTTCATTATTAATAAAGTATTATTGAGTTGTTTGCAAATAGGCAAAGGTTTTTATGTTAAAGCCAGGGGTACCAAATAATAAACATTGCCTAGTTTTTAGAATGTAAAACATCGAACTGTCTTTTGGTGATTTGATATGAGAAAATTTCATATAATCAATACTATTAAGAAGTCTTGGCTGTTCGTATATTTAAAATTTTATAAATTTATAAATAAAATCTAGAATCATTATCGTGGAGATGAGTGTAGTTACTATAGCTACCATACTTGGCGATCAATTTGGCAATGGCATACACATTGCATAGATAAAGCTCGCTACACACGTTTAGTTTTAAGTGAACCTGTGTGCAAGCATAACTTAGAAATGTAGTAACAGTTTAACAGTTAAATGCTTACAAGCATAAGTTTTACCTGTACAGTTTGATTAAAATTTAAGGTGTATAGCGCGCTTTACCTTGTTCTTACGTTTGTATATTTCTTTAACGCCCACATAACAGACGATAATAATGTTTGTGCAAATCCCACGCACTGTATTTTTAAAAATATAAACTATTTATAAATAGAAAAGAAATTAACTACGCCGATATAATAGCGCATCGATGAATCAGGGAATGAATGACTTGTATTCTACAGGTTCAAATCCCGCCTTGTGCCAATGTGTTTTTCGAAATTCATGTATTCGTACTCGACGTTCTTGCGTTGAGGAAAATATCTTGATGCAACCTGCACTTATCGGAGAAGAAATTTAAAAAGTGAGAAGTCAACTAACGCTGTGGACCTGACTAAGGCCTAGTCACCCCTAACTTAGGGTAAACTCTGAGTCACTCAGAGTGATAATGATGACCCATCAATGTGATTTCGACTGAAAAATTATGTTACGTAAAAATGAGGTCATGGATTCGAATCCGCTTTTGTAGGAATGTTTACTTATCGTAATTAATGCTGGTACAAAATGTAAAATAGCTACAAGTATAATTTAATGTGATGTTAGTTCAGTTGTTTTGTATTTATTCTTGACTCCATTCGATAAAGGTATTGTTATCTAGAAGTTTATATTGTTGCACATATTTTAAGGGTTAAGTCCAGATACCTACAATAATAGTTGGCCGGTAACTTATCCGACACCTTTTGCTAAAATAAGTGGGTTTAGAGTTTATCGCGTACAATAAAAACTTACCCCTTTGACATATTTATCGTATTAAACTGTCACTTAATAAATGTAAACTAATACCATCTTTTTATGACTTCTTTATTAATACTTTTTATACAATATATGTATACAAATTATTTCCTGACCTCACATTCCTCACTTTTTTTACACCTCTAATTGTACTTTTCTTTTTATTACATTTTTAATTTTTCTTTTTCGGTGGCCAGTGTTAACATTATAATACAAATAGTCAATATAGACAGTCACCGGCGACTTTATTAGTAGCCTATGTGATTTTCAGACTATGTTGTATCTGTGTCAAATTGCTGTCCTATCGGTTGAGCTACAAACATCCATACATCTAAACGTTCTCATTTATATTATAAGAATTAGTTAGTTAGATCTATATTTCACGTTGCCAGCTATTAGAATGTCGTCATAATCATACTTTGTTGTTTTTAGTTTTCTTTGTCTTGTGTTTGAACAAATGTTCGAGTTTTCAAATGTTTACTGCCTGGAGCCTGCAACTGTTCATGAATAATTGAATTTAACTATACTTCATGGCCACGAAGTACAGAAGTTTAAATATTGTTTGAATTCCGCATTATTTCTTAATTTCACTGATTGCAGTTTTAGAGTTTGAGCGGGCGCACACCTTTGACTAAATTATCGCACAACTATTGTGCGATTGTCGATTGTTTCGGAGCCCAAACAACTGTTTAGTTTCACAACTAAAATCGAGTAGTGTGCGCGAATCCATATTTATCGTAGGAATTAAAGCGAGACTAAACAATTGTGCGATATTTTAGTTTCATGTGTGCGCATGCTCTTAGTTTGTTGAAGCGACAGTAATTTTTGTTTATATTTATTTTATTATTGTGACGTATGCTTTTAGTGTTTTTTATATTATAAAAGCTTAGTCCAGAAATAGAAATGCACACCGCAACAAGATGTATTATGGTGGAAATGGGTCAGAACGTAAATCGCATCGGAGCGGTATCGTGTTCCCTCTACCACAAATCCGATTATTATACTCTAGGGAGGCCTTTGTTGACACGTTGATTTGTAGAGATTTTTAAATATTAACATTTACTGCGAAACATTGAATTTAAATATAAAACGACAATCCTCATGACACTCAAGGAAAGGATACGAATGAAACATATTCAACATACGCTACCGTAAAAGTAAAAAAGAATTCTAATGTCTAATTCCCAAAAAATATCTCAAACAGATTGAAAAGCTTTTACAAGTACACGGCTCATATAACGCACTCAACATTTCCCTTCCTGAACCCGCCATTGCTTAGTTACTTACGCTTGTGAAACTAATTAACATTCATTTGTTTTATCAATAAAGAAAGTCACGTGTACAATTTCCTGCGAAATGTTCGACCACGTGACTTGTCAACCGAAGTAATACGGCGGTCGCCACGTGTTGGAAATAATCCAACTAAATTGAATCCGTAAAACACGTAACCAAACTATATTTAGTACAATATATTAACAATTAAGGTACGGAATAGAATCTTGCAAATGCATTGTAATTACTCTTTAAATTACGTAAATATGAAAATGCTGCCAAATGTAACTGTGTAAGATTTATGACTATTCTTGTTTATCAATCAAATTTTAAATACCGTACTATCTATACTATTGTAATAAAGCGTAAACACACACTTCTTTGTTGCCTAAGATGTCAGCAATCACGTCATGTTTTTGAATTTTTTTTTAACAAAAAGCCTGAGGATGAAGCCTCACGGGAACAGCTAGTTATTAATAAGCGTCAATAGCCTAATGGTTTGGGGTACGGACTACCGATCTTGCGGTCGACGGTTCGAATCCCGCCATTCGACTATTGTCGTGAACCATATCCTAGCACAAGGCTAGAGCTTAGTTAGAATGGTTAAAGGAAATATTAGTAAATTAACAAAAATCTACTAGTATTTAAAAAAAAAGAAACAAAAAAACTTATTCTAAACAGCAATGCAATTAATTCGAAACATATTTCTATGACCGTAGTCATAATGATGATGTTTCTTGAGGAAGTTGTAAGTAATTAAGACTATTGTAATAATTATTATAACACCCATGTTCCAAACAACTAATTAAATTAAATGTTATTTATGAAACATTGTCAATGACGCACATAATTTAACCCCATTTGCAATTCTCACCCTACCATTTGTCTACCGGTCTATCAGTCTATAGGTCTACTGCAAACCATCTTCATCATGCCATCAGGAGTTATTTTTATAATCTGTATTCCTTCCAGAAACTACGAACACATTATAAAGTTCGGTAAACCAAAAGATATCGTGTCCATAGATGACTCTTCTAACAAAGAATATCAACTACAAGTTGAACTGAGGAATAAAAAATCTCGAAGCATACCAATACATCTGACACAAAATTATTATAATAAAGAATTCTGTTCGTCTTTGGAATATATTGCAATAGATGATGAATACATTACAATGGAGAGCGTAAGTTTAAATTGATTGTAACATTATTAGAGAAGATATTAGTAATGTTCTTAAAGCATACCTTTTAGCTCAGATCTAAAAGTTTTCAACTACCCTCATTAGATTGATTGATGAAACCTATGTTGACTATATAAAATTTCACGTGTTTTTAAACATGTAACTAATATTCTTTACCAAGTTGTTATTGAATATTATATAGAAAGTGTTTACATAATACCTACAAAATAATTACAGATTTTACAAGAACTGCTAAGAAAACTACATGTCGAAAATGCGGTGTGGAAAAGTGACAAGATGGAGAATTACTTTCAAGTTACGTTCCCTTTGCCGACTGGAGATGCGTGCGAGACGATGTTGCACTGCCTCACCAAACTAGGGATTGGTGTGCGATGCAAGTCCATCGTCAAGTAAGTGGATCCTCATGATAGAATGTGATATATATGTAACTAAGATTAAATTTAAGTTTATTGAAAATTGTTGATATGTAGTTTGTCTCTGCAAACATGATCGTCACCAGTGAGCAAGAGGCGGCTGGCCTCCTTTATAGAACAATAAAAATACAAATCTTTTCTTTTCATAATATTAGTACAGGTAGAAATGTAAAATAGGTATAAACTTTACTTCGCACTTTATCCCCCTAAAACTGGCCTCTCATGGCGACCCTATGGTTGCACATTGTACTAGAAAATTGTAAATCTCTGCAATTGTCACTCTAGTGTTTTGCCGTGCAACGTGGTGCATTCTGCAGTTGAAGAAGAGCAAGACGATGAAGCTTTATTGTAAGTATTTTTAACTGTTAGGTTTATGGACATCGGTTAATGACGACAATCAAATAATGTTTCTCAAATAACAGGCGTAAAAATGAAGATGCGCAGCGTTGGCGCAACTTCGTAGAGTCGATCCGATCAAAGCTGACGGTAAAACAAGTGGTAGATGGCGTGCGCGGTGGCGGGGAGCTGTCCTTCGATTACCTAACTTTAATCGTTACAGCTGAGTAAGTAAAACACAAAACAGTAGACGGTAAATTATAAACCATGGACCTTAGGGTATTGAGTGTGTATTATCTAAGTTCAACTGATTTAGTTTTAATTATTCGCTTTTACGATTAAGAAACTAGAGTTGAGATAAGGTTGTAAAGGAATTAGCGGTTCACTCGTACTTATCTAGTAATACCTCGATACATATGTATGTATGTAAATAGACAGAATTAACACGCAATAGAATGTGTGTTTTGATTTAAACAAATTCATGAAAATTTAAAGTTACTCTACTTTTTCTTAGCGTAGTAGAGAGTTTATCGATCAGTGGAAAATTCCTAAGGTTTACAAGTTAAGTAAACGATAGCCTTACCCTTAAGCGTTGTATAAACTTAATTGCGCGTCTTGACGAGCTTAGAGTGGCCTTGACCTCTCGCGCTCGCTTCTAAAAATAAGAAAATATTCTTTGTTTAATTTTCACCCACTGTTAGAAGAATGAAGATCGTGTTCACTAAATGAATGTTAAACGATGCTCTACAGTAACTTCGTGTTTATTTTATGTTTTAGAAACTTTGTAGACAATAATGAAATTATTCATAACTATGAACCTATTTTAAAAGCAACCTTTAAAACTTTTGAAATCTACAAGTTCTTTTTTCAAAACTAAATTCTAATTATCTTTAACTCTCAATATATTCATCCCATCTTTAATTAGGTTGTCACTGTTCCTCCAGTTCTCTTGCAGCACTCGGTTTAGTGGAAAACAATGCGTCAAACATCGTGGCAGCGATGTTGGTATCACCTCTCATGGGGCCTGTCATGTCAATTACCTTTGGCACCATCATAGCTGACCGGAGCCTCGTGAGAAGCGGCTTCGAGAGCTTGGTACTCGGAATGCTCGTGTCTTTATTATTTGGATTTATATTTGGCCTGATTCTTGGGACAACTGAAATGCCTTGGGGGTTCGGAGACTGGCCTACAGAAGAAATGAAATCACGGTGATTACTGACTATTTGTTTCTATTCGTCTTTTAATATCAGGTTAAATTTTCGTTACAATAGCGAGAAGAAAGAGTAAGTTAAGAAGGACAGTGATACATTGTTTAATTGTATAATTATGGTTTTCTTTTGCGAATTATCACTCTCTCTTCACTGAAAATCATCACGAGTTATTGATAATAATGACAACATAGTAAATTAGACAACATTATCGGAGATCTTAACATTTTCCAGTGGTAACGTGAGGTCTCTATGGATGGGTGTCCTTTGGGCACTAACATCTGGCACAGGCGTGGCGTTAGCTCTACTACAAGGAAGTGCTGGACCACTCATCGGCATCGCTATTTCCGCTTCTCTTTTACCGCCTGTTGTTAATTGCGTAAGTCCATTTAAACTCGTTATGCGATTTTTTTAATAACCTAAAATCGGTACAAGGCCAAATAATATAAAAGCAGTTTGCAAATTATATTAAAGAAAAACTAACTATGGTTTTCTTCAACAATATGACAGAGATAATATATAAATTTTATTTTTTTCTCTTATCAACTATATTTTTTTAATCGTTGAACACGTTTTTGGTGCTACAGTACTTATGGTAGAGATACACTCGTAATTTTAAAACAAGACCAAAAGATCAAGGGTTTTCTTATCGATTTTAATATAAATTACATATATGTACGACGTTGTTTATCTGCACGCAAATGTCTAACAATACATTTTTCAATATGTAATATTTGAGAAAGAAATATACATCAAAGAACTCCAATGAAATTGGAACTGATATCTTCAAAAACGGTCTATATTTTTCTGATTTGCATTGACCCCGAAATTGTTATATATCGATATATCGAGCATTTGAGTATGTGAAACAATTTTTCATTATATACAGGGATTGTTCTGGGCGATGGCATGTATCTGGTTATTATATCCTAATACGAAAATACCTCACATAAAGGGAGAGCCGTATTACGGCAATTCGTCGTACGTGCCGCTATATCACGACTACATTCCTATAGAATTTGCTGTTAATGGTAAGTGTATAAATGCGTATTATTTAACATCGTTTCCTTTGGAATTTAGACTTAACTTTCATATAATTTACTTCTAAATAGCTATTGCTTTCTACGAAATGTCACAATGTGCTTTACGTTTAGACATACAGGTGACTAGCTGTTGCTCGCGACTTCGTGCACGAAACGTTAAGATAAAAAAGCCTATGCCTATAATATGCCCGTCTATCAGCTACCCTTAAGCAAAAGTCCGGTCAAAATCGGCCCAACAGTTTCGGAGATTACCCGGAACAAACGCGCGGACAGAGTTATCAGTAACGCAAATACAATCTTCCCGACATCTAGACAAAAAGACACTTTACAAACAGACACTCCAATTTTATTATATGTTTATATATAAAAAATTGTTTCCAGGTATTGTTAGCTGCTGCCTTACTATCGTGAATGTTATATGCATATTTATAACCGCGATTATGTTCCTGAAGATCAAAGAGGTAGCTGCTCCCTACACATCTACACCTGATCTGCGACGCTTCTGGCAGCAAGACATCAAAGTAGCGCGCGACGCTAACAGAGCTAATCTACAAGCCGAAGACGAAGAACGTGTAGAGTAAATTAACACCTCAATTACACAAACTTGTTACATTATCGTATTTGAGCGATAACAGTAATTTTATTCGTATGTTTCTCTTTTCAATTCTAAAAGAACTCACGAAATGAGAAATTGGGACTGACGTCACGAAAACTTAAGAACATTTGTAATAAAGATGACCGATTCTAGTAGACTCTTTCAACATTTTACTGATTTCGATGAGCCCCTATTGCTAAATTTCTTAGTTGTTTATTTCTAAATGTACACTAAAGAAGCAACATCCAAATCTTTTTACATCTTGATACTGTGCTGATTCATTGAATTACATTGTCAGGTTGGTCCTCGAAGATCTCAACGAGACCGCTGACGCTGAGGTTAAAGAAAAACTAGAGGCAGCTGTAAGAGAAGCCTTGGACGACGACACTTATCGGAAAGTAAAGCGAATGAGTTATCAAAGCCATAATGCTGATGAGGTAATTTTTTTTATAAATACTTAGCCAAATAAAAGACGTATGTATTTGTATAGGGTTCCTAATTTATGTAGGGTTCCTAACCTTCTGTACTCTAGAGCACTTTCTTAAATACGGAGTGGCGGGCACGAACATCAATTTTTATCACCCAACAACTTCCATAACTTCTCATTTCCCATAATTTTTTTTTCTTATATTTTAGTGTACAATAATCACAATTTATTAATAAACAAAAATGTCTAAACATAATACAATTATTATTTAGATTGCATATACCCAGAGAAATGTATTTACAAGACAAAACGTAATCGTAAACGGAGGAGAAACGTTCACATACCTACCTAACGGAAAACACCAGCTCTACCTTAAAATTTTAACGATATTTGTGCGTTACGTGCAAAGATATCCGAAAATACTAGTCTCCATAATTATTTCATATCTTAACATTTTTTGCAGGTTTCTCGTACTATCGGTCTACAAGCACGAACCGGCTCATTCCGATCGAGTATGATTAATTCCGGTATGAGCACGCCTTTGCATACGATAAAAGAGAGCGGTAACGCTAACGATATTGAGGCGCTAGACAAACTTCTTTCATCTCTTCTCGGTCTTAGAGAGAGTAGAGGTAGATCGTTTCGTTCCAACCACGGCACACCCACTATTAGCAGGGTATCTTCATTTCTAAATAAACAGAAAAGCACTCAAGAATCACATCCGGATAGAATATTCCAAGATAATATTATCCGCAATGTTATAAACAATATAAAATCTAAAAGGAACTCTCCAGTTGATGAACCATTTCTAACTCCAAACTAAAGTGGGTTTATTAATGAAAAAAAAAATGTAACAGTAATAAATTATTTTTTATTAAGTAGCACCATAGTCTATTATAATACAATAGGAAATGTTACAATTATCACAGCATAGCTTCATTACATGTCAATAAACTCTTATTGGAATTTATCCAAATTCTACAATTATAAAACAAAACACACTGTAATTAATTGTAATTTTGTACATTTGACTAATATTTTAACACTATTTCTTTGTTTTAATCGAATCAATGTATTTCCTTTGTTTTTAAATCAATCGGAACTGATTTTAATGGTTTACTATGCTTTACTTGCGAGGTATACACATCATATCCTAATGATATTGTATTATCATATAATACTCTAAATCGGGTCGGCAGAAAATAGAAATTAATAAGTTGCGCCGGCGGCCAGACCATCCATTCAGCTCTATACAATGTTATAAATTTATCTTTGACTTCTTCTTTAAAATTCTCTAACGGATCATCTTCGAATATGGCAACACTACCAAAGAAAGTAGTTATCATGATTGGTGAAAATATTAATTGATCTAACAGTAGTTTTTTAATAACCATATCTGTTGTTTTACCTATTATTATCTTGTCTAATATTTTATACCAATGGTGACATAAAACACCCACTGCGGCACCAGAAAATGCCATATGCATTGTCCTTTTAAAATCATAATTAGTTTGCTCTTTGGTATATATTTCATATGATTGTTGTAATAAATCACCAACTGATGATAAGCTTACAGATATCGTTACATTTGTGTAAAATAAATATTTATCACTAAAAGCTACTTTTACTGTTCTCTTGAAATATGATACAGGCTGTGATCTGCGAAGATTTGTAGCCAGTTTCCTCCATGTTACACCCAGTTGTTGCATATTATGCAATCTGAAAAGATAATCTCAAATAAATACATTAAAACAAATGCATATTTCGTGTAACAATTTATTCACTGGTAATTTTAATATTAAAAATTTTTTTACAATATTTTTTCAAATAAATCATTATTTTTCTGAATGTGATTTTATTTTATGTTTAATATGCGAAGTATATACATCATAGCCAAGTGATATCGTACTATCATATAAAACTCTATATTTTGTTGGTAAAAAATAGAAATTAATTATTTGAGCAGGTGGCCAAACGAACCATTCTGCTTTGTATAAAATCCAAAATTTTGATTGCACTTCATGAGTAAAATTATCTAAAGGATTCTCTTCCAATATAGCTACAGTTGCAAAGAAAGATAAAATAATCAAAGGTGAACATATAAATTGATCAAGCAAAAGTTTTTTAATAACCATTTCAAGAGATTTTCCAATTATCACTTTATCAAGAAAGATATACCAGTGATGGCAAATAACACCGGCTGTACAACCAGTAATTGCCATTTGGGAGGTTCTATGAAAATCGTAATTAACATTTTCGCCGTAAATTTGGTAAGTTTGTTCCAATAAATCCCCTACTGCAGAAATACTCATAGATAATAACACGTTAGTATAAAATAAGTTTTTCCCGCCAAATGCTACTTGAACATAATTATAACCTTTAGCAAACAACTTACTAAAGACCATCAGAGATCTAAAACAAAAAGTGAGGTTAGGTTTTTCTTAATATTCGAAAATATATTTCTAAAGTAAATAATATTATTCAATTTTAAAATAATAATATATTTAGGTATGTATAGTTATTTAAGACAGTAAATTTAATGACAACCTATCATTGAATGAATAAATATTTATTAGATAATGCTTTTATAGAAGCATTGTGTAACAAAATCATTAAAGGTTATTAAAAGGGCTAATAATTTAAAAAGTTCCTCCGTATTTTTTTGCTATATATTATTGATTTAAATATAAATTTATGTTTACTTACATGAAAATTTCGCAGTGTACGAGGAAGATAATTCAAACTTATTAAATTGGAGGAAAATTGGTATGTTTTAATGTTTTTGCGCAAAATTTTTTTTGTTATATATTACAATTAAAACTTTATTATACATTAACATAATGTCTAATTAAACTCCCCTATCCTATAGCCTCTCTTAGATATTAAGAACATATTTATTTCGCTTTACTTGAACTTGAATCCATAGCGATTTCAAATTATGACGTTTATTGTCAAAGAGCAATGTAATAAAGAATCATGTTTGTATTGTTGTGTTAAAAAGAAATATTGAAAATAAACGTGAACCTTTTGTAATTTAAACTGTAAATGTTAAAAAAATATGATTAATTGCTAGTGACAGTAAATTAATCAGTAAAACAAGTTATTTATATATATAGCTATTCCATTCTAATTTCAAAATTGAGCACAAATTCTTCACGCTCTTTGATCAAGTTATGTTAAGTGTCAGCTGTCATATCAGTTATGTCAATGTCAAATATCAAGCTCAAGCATCAATCAAGATTGTATTGAATTTGATAATTTTTATATTGTTTGTAATTTGGTTTAGGTAAATCGTGAAATCAAAAAGCATTAAAATGTCTATTCTTGGTGAGTTGAAGTTATTCCAGTAAACATTTGATATTACTTTCAATTAGTAATTAAAAATCTAATGATGTATTTTTTGTATACAATTTCAGATAAATTAACAGTAGACAAACAAGCTATGAAGAATCGAGCTACAGCTCATCTTCGAATTTACGTTGGTGGGATAACCGAGAGAGCTACTTTAGAAGAATTATACGAGCATTTTTCACCATTCGGACAAATTACAGGCCTGATTTATAACAGATCATTTGGGTTTGTGCAATTTGAAAATGAATCCAGTGCTCAAGAAGCTATTGCTAAGGCGGATGGTAGTATATTTCAAGGAAAATCATTATGTGTCAGAACAGCAGTAACTGATAGACAAAGGTAAACTTTTTATTTAATTTAGTATAGATTAACTGGACAAATTAGGCAAGCACAATGTAACATACAGTTTTAACTTAACATTAATTACTCTCTGAGTCAAACATCTTAATTGAATTTGGCCATTAAAACTTTCAAACAAAACTTTAAATAGTGACTTCTATTTAAGGTTTCAAAAATTATTGAGTTTGTCTTGTACTTAACCATTAAAAAAAAAAAACCTTTTTTACTTTATAATGTTTGTATAGATATAGTATAAATAACAAGGTATATGTCTTTTCATATAGACGGGAAATAGATTATACTCCAGCTTCAAATACAGAAGGAACACCTTCAAATGACAGCTTTACTAATGAAGGAAATGACGAGCAATCCAACTTCAACTATGGAGATCAGAGACAACCAAATACAGGTAGAATATTTCGCATAATACCCCTTTTTCTTTAGCTATTTATTAATAATACCTCGCTTCAATGTTACTTGTACAATGTTAAGAAAAATAAGTACTTGTAAATGAACCAGTCTATACACCTCTTGTCTATCTTTTTACATGTCTTGCATGGTATTAACAATTAATATTAATAAAGTTGCATAATCAAATTATTAAAACTATTTATGTTATGAGGTATTTCATATTTGTGCGATTACTATATACTTTTTTTAAACAAAAAAACACATATTCATGATAATTTAGTATGCTATATAGGCACAAGTTAGTGCTTGCACTATGAACATTAATTAAGCTGAAACTTTGGCTTTGGATATACACTTGTGTACAGTTTAAAATAAATTTTGTCAAATAGATTTCAGAGAGGAAGAGACTGATGAAGGTTATGGTAAAGGGTATGGAGAAAGTTATGAGGCGAATGAACCTCATGAGCCACGTGAACCTCGTGAGTTACGTGAGCCTCGTGAGTTACGTGAACCTCGTGAGTTACGTGAACCCCGTGACCCGAGAGGGGGAATGCGCGGTCGCGGAGTTTTGCGAGGGAGGGGCAGGGGACGTGGTGGTCCTAATTACCGGGACCGAACACCAGTTACTCCTAGAGGTAAGTACTAGAATCTTACTAATATTATAAATGCGAAAGTTTGGTTGGATGAATGTTTGTTAGAGTGTGCAACGGAAAGTGCTGAAACTGTCTCAATGAAATTTAGCATAGATATAGCATAGTCTGGAAGTACACATACACATTTTCTTTTGTTTAATTCCATGCCGACAAAGTCGCTGCGAAAGCTAGTTAACAATATATGTATGTTAGACAAGGTTGCCCATCAATTTTAATTCAGTATGGACTATGAAAATTTCGTACTTTCGACATTATATATCACTAACTGCAATATTAAAAAGTAGCAATTATTTACATTTAAGCAGTTTCCAAAGTAATCACAAGACAGATATCTGCACAGTTATGTATAGATTTAAATTAATAGGTAGTGAATGGCCGGAGAGAAGCAGTTTTGAGCGGTATCCTCCAGCAGACTTTCCCAGGAGTCTACCTATCACGGAACGGAATGATTGTGAGATTATTGTTGTCTCGAAAGCATTAACGTAAGTATCTTATGTATAATATGAATATTTTTTTTGTCTTTTGTGTAAATTTTCTATTTATTTTTGATGGTTTATCAATGTTTTTTTGTAGGGAATATGCTGAATACATAGAGAGTAGACTAAAACGTCTAGGTATTGTGGTGGACCTGCTATTTCCCATGGAAGATGTACCTATCGGCAAAGTGCTGGGCAACATCGCATCACGCGGTTGTCTCTACGCGATCCTTGTGATGCCACAGAATGAGGAAAATAAATCTTTAACACTTACATTTTTACATGGATTACCACAAGGTGTGTAAAACATCTGTTATTGTTCAGAACTCATAGGCTTCTATTTTTTTAACACATGCGGTGACTCCTGATGATGATAAGTCAGCCTAAATAATAAATACTAATATAATAAAGCATAAAGAAACACTTATTTATAATGTAGGTTGTCGGCAATCACAGTATATTTTTGAATAATTCTTTTTATAATAAAAATCCCTACATTTATAACAAGCTAAAGTATATTTTCACGCTATTAAACCACCGCCGCACGGGAACATCTTATTTATATACCATATATGTATGGTGTTAGAGCACCGCAACATGCCGCTGGAGGATGCGCTGCAGCTGCTGTCGCGCAACTTCCAGGAGGTGCAGCAGGGGGGCACCTCCGGCCGCGAGGCGGTGTACGCGCTGCTGGGCCAGCTCGCCGACGGCCGCAGCCTCACCGTGCTGCAGTACGACAAGGTCATCGAGTACCTGCAGGTCGGCTACACTAGCCATTGTAATCCTAGCTTTTAAGTGCGAAGGAGTCAGCTGAAAATCAGCGCAGGAACGGCCTAGTCCCTCCTGCGTAGCGTAGCTGGCTACCTTTTGCCACGATTGTATGTTTTCTTTAGAATAAGTCCTTTTTTGTGGCAATAAATACATGTTCATTCATTTATTTATCTCTGTGCTACTTTGTATTAGATCCTAGACAGGATCTAGGATCTTCGTTTCTAACTTGTTCTTTTAATTTATCTCATAGACAATTCAGTATTTTTTTGTGGTATGTCTTTTAGGTGGTATACAAATATCTTCGCGGCTC